TTTGTTTGTCTGTTTGTTTGTTTAAGTAAGCAACATAAGGCTTGAACTCATGACCCTGAGATGAGGAGTCACATGCTCTACCAACTGAGCCAGGCACCCCTAAACCTACTGGTCTTAAAAGTATTTGATTACACTTATCATATTCCCCTTCCAAATCATCTCTTCTAAGCACACTAAGGCATCTGATGAGAAATACGATAATGTGTATGAAACACATCACTGGAAAAAGTAAGCTGCTAGTATTTAGTAATGGCATCTATTACCATATACTCGTTCACCTTTACTTCTACAAGCTCCCCATTGCCTTCCATGCAAAGCTAACATCAAGGAGAGCATGGGCTGGTATATGGAATTGTTGCATCACTATGCTGTACACCTGAAACTAATACAACACTGCACATGAACTGGAATTAAAATAAAAACTTAAGAAAAAAGTAACATCAATGAGTTTCTGATTGAAATTAGGTCTTATTCTTTCTTTTAAACTCTAGAATTTAAGCCAACTTTGTACCTGACTCAGTAAGTTCCTTCTATATCAAACTAACTGCATAAACATTTCATTCAACTTCCTTTTCCTCATCTCCAACAAACTTCCATTGTAGGGAAACCCACTCCACAAATACCAATTAAACTAGCTCTTGGACTGTACAGGACTTCTTGTTCCAAGTTATTATCTATACAGTGTCACAGACGTGAGCTGTCCTGAATCTGTGTTCATTCTTCCCCAAACATCTCTGGCAACCTTCTATACATCTTTGAAGGCTCAGCTCAAAAGTCACCTCTTCCAGGATTCTTCTGGGACCAATCCACCTATATACCCCAGGCTGGGTTAGACAATCGTCAAGCTTCCAAATTGGCATTCTGCACATATCTTGAGAAAAATACTGTTTTGTACAGTTACCTGTCATGAGTATAAGGCTCCCTGACAACACACTCCTGCTTTCTCAGTAATATCTAGCACAGAGTAAAAAATTGTTCAAAGAAAAGGCAAATAGCTTCATCTCAATTCTTAAGCAGCATAATGAATCTTAAATATATCCAAACACATTCCAAGTCACTATTTTTAGGTCTTCTGCTTGAAAATAGGAATAACTCTAGAGGTATTTAAGAAATCCTGCTATTTTTATTTAATAACAATGAAATTTTTAAAGATACATACCTTGAGCCATTGTCACTATAATCATATCTTCTCTAGATCTATTTCTCTCCCATTAGCTTTCCAATTATTCAGAAAAATCATTTACCCAAGTGCCTGATTAAATCTAACACGAGGCCAGGCTTTAAAACTTTTTTTTTTTTTTTTAAGTTTATTTATTTTGAGACAAAACGAAGACAGAGAATCCCAAGCAGGCTCCGTGCTATCAGCACAGAGCTTGATACTGGGCTTGAACTCAAGAACTGTAAGATTATGACCTGAGCTGAAGTCAAGAGTCAGACGCTTAACAGACTGAGCCACCTAGGCACCCCAGGGGCTAGGCTTTAAGAAAATTATGCAGTCCTTGTTCCCCTCTACTCTTCCTACTTTTACCTACAGTTGAAAGACTAGACATACAAGACAAATATTAAACTATTATGAAGCTTATAAAAAAACATTATCACTTATGCAAGGAGTAACTCTCCCTTTATGCAGACTATTCTAAAGTTGAAATAAAGAAGTTAACTCACTGTTGTCTTCTTTTGACAGTGATTCTTTCAAAATTTTCAAAAAGAAAAAGCCCCATACGGCAATATACAGCACAGCCAAGACCTTCAAAGAGCATACACCCTTTGACCCAACAATAACACTAAAGGACAGGTGTAAATCAGTATTTATATCATGGATGTTCACTGCAGGGTTATTTCAGCTGGAAAAAAATATAAAGACGCTGACAAATCTAACAATTAAGATTTGGAAAATTATAATACACCTATGATAGAATATTATGAAGCCATCAAAAGTGATGTCACAGAAGAATATTAAACAATTAAGGAAAAGTTCTAAATAATTGCAGAAAGCAGGTTACAAAGTAGTATCTGAAGTATACAAAATAAACAACACATGGAAAAGGTCACTAAAAGCTGCTCAAGTTTCAAGCCATAGATCCAGTGCTTGAAGTTTCTATGATACTACTGAAGTAGATCATGGAACAGAACAAGTCAGTAATACTAGGCAAAAATGGCTATAGTTCTGCTTCAGTGTGTTCTGCCAAGATACATGCCCAATCATGGAACTTTAGAATAGCTGTGACATCATCTTCAGGATAAAGCTTAAGTATTTCTCTACTTATTGAGTTACCATGCCCATCTGGCACAATTTTTTGCAATCTTGTAAATAACACAAAGGTACACAAACACCCTAACTAAAGGAGTCTACTGCCTCAATGAGCTATCAGTTTCACTCTCATGAAACTTGTTTTGTATTGGAAGCCTAATAAAGACTGGCTTTAGAGTCAGTTATGTAAGGATGTTAAGGATAACAGCGGGCAAGAGAAGGCAATACTGACTGAAATGGTAACTGGGTTTAGAAGCAATCATAAGGACCTTCCTGAAACCCCAGCAATCTCTTCTCACAAAAGGTAAACTAAAAAGTAATCTCATGCAAGTATAATCGAAGCTTTTTTTTGTTTGTTTTTACTTTTGGTGGTTTCACTAACCTGAGAACAATTAGTATACTCATTCATCAAAAGTCTTTATGGAATAGCTTTAAGACTGATCCATTAATCGGCTAAACAAAGACGCTAAACCTTGATTATTATTACTCACTGTGAAAACATCCCAACACTGGTCAATTCCAATTTGTGAATCTTACACCTCCTTATGAAGTTCAATTATTATTCACTGAACCACTCAAGTGAATTTAATACAAATACAAACCTGATTGAAAGGTTACATAAATTAACAGCCCTTAAATTTGCTACTTCATTTTTATTTTTTTTAATGTTTAAGAAAGAAAAAGTATGTGCAAGCAAGGAGAGGGGAAAAGAGAGGGAGAGAATGCCAAGCAGGCTCCACACGATCAGTGCAGAGCCTGACCTGGGGCTCAATACCACCCCCACAAACCTCAAGATCATGACTTGAGTCAGATGCTCAACTGACTGGGGTCACACAGGCAACCCTGCTACTTCATTTTTAAACCCAAGCTTCTCCACTAGTTCTAACACCTACAGGTTGATCTTATTATCTATGCTGTACATTCCTGAAAACATTGAAATCTTTGCTTTCCTACTTTTTAAAATATTTTTTTTTTTTGAGAGAGAGCATACACATGAGTGGGGGGGGGGGCAGAGCGCAAGGGGGACAGAGGATCTGAAGCGGGCTCTCTGCTGACAGTGGAGAGCCTGATGTGGGGCTCTCTCACAAACCGTGAGATATCCTGACCTGAAGTTGGACACTTAACCGACTGAGCCACATAGGTGCCCCTGCCTTCCTATTTTTAATCACAAGATGTAGACAGAACGTGCAGATATATGCAAGCAGATTTATAATACGGGATTGATATTATGCATGTTTTGAGTGGTTAAACTAAGCACCTGAATGGCCCTCACATACAATAATCTGCTGTGTCAATACATGATGCTTAAAAGGCCTTCCCTTCCTTGTTCCTCTAGATTCAGAAGTCAGTTAAAACATCTTTTGAGCCTTTCACATGTCTAGCAAAACTAATCAGTAAACTATCTTTCTACAAGATGAGGGCAGGTTTTAAGTTACACTGTTAAAGTTTGGGGAAGGGAAGAGAATTTAAAGGACAAAAAAGGAGTGGTTTTTTTTCTGACAGGCAACTTTTCAGTAGTGTGGCTCTGTATCCCCAATACTTTTAGCATCACTGACAAGCATATCTCCATTTTTTATTCAACTGCACACACTAGAATGGCAACCATCCTACTTCAGTTGAACAACCATGCCCCTGATTCTTAGGTGTTATGGAGAAGGAGAATCTAACCAAAGAGCCATCCTCCCAGTGCTCAAAAGTTTTTACAAAGATATAACAAGTACCTCAGATCCTAGATCAAATATATAAAATCCCTAGGAATTCATCACATCACAAACATAAAAAAATATATTTACATAAGTTTATTAGGTTTTATTTTACATTTGAACCTGACCACTTAGAATTCTCCCAATCATTAATAATCTTTAAAAAGAAACTTCTCTTTACCCACAATAATCTTTTCACCTACTTCCAACATTTAAATAGGTCTAAATCCTAGACAACGTATGCTCTGCCCCAACCAGTACTTTATCATTCTCTACCATCTTAAAGTTTACATTCACTCAAAACACACAGACCAAGCATTACCAACACTTTCCAGTAAATTCCAACATTTTAGTTTGGACCTATTCTCCATGATTCTGCCCAAGACTCACTTGTTACAGAGAAACAAGAGAAGATTACTCCTCAGGAATACAGGAGAATTTTAAGAGCAGAAGACCAGCTTTTTCTAATCATGTTTTCAAAGTTTTATATAATAAATATTACTTTTCCAATGGGAAAAAGGTTTGGGGAAAAAACAATTAAGTAGAACACTAAGGATAGGAATAAGGAAGAAAGTTCTGAAAAATACACTAATACTGCCAATGGTCAAAGGCAAGCAGAAAGTGATGTCAGGGCTGGTGACACACTAACTCTGATTTAACACTGTACCCAAGTTAGGCCAAAAGTTAATTACAACATAACTTTTACCTTTTCTCTGCCATATTACAGCCTCAATCTTTTCCTACTTTCATTTCCATGGTTCTATCACTTCAATTATGCTCTCTGCATTTCTTTTGGCTTTATTCACCTCTTTTGCATCATTTAAATTCAGTTTCTCTACAGTTTCTGCTTTCCGTTAATTTAAGCCCACATTTCTATACACTAAGTCAAACAGTAACACCAATTATACTTCCACAAAGGCTTGAATTGTTAAGTGATACGCTTGTTACTTACAGAGCTTTTATTAACCATTCAGTATAATAACTCTCCTGCTCCCTCTCGTATGTTTTTCCTTCTCTAAAAGTCTTAATAATGGTAAACCGGTTACCTTTTTAACACTTTCTTCTTCCTCTTGGCGTTTCTCATAGTGTGAGAAGTCATCAAAAATCGAAGTGGTGTGCTTGTAGCTGGCTATGATTTTCAACACCTGCTTAGCCTTTTCCAGAGGCACTTCTTGAGTGTCCCTGGAGTTGGTCACTGGTTTATTCTCGTTGTTCTCTAGGCGAATGTGTCGCAGTTGGCTATTGGGAACGTCCTTCACAAAAATCCACCTGACGTCAAAACGACCCTTCCATTTGTCCTGGGACCACACACCTGCACATGTGTTGTAGTCCACAGCAGATTTCATTTCTGCAACGCCACAGAAGTGTCCACTGCCGTTGACACTGAAAAGTAAGTAAACGGGGCCTTTCCCGTTCATGGAGCGATAAGCAGCATCCAGTCTCTTGTTACCGTGCTCTGTGCTGCACCAGATATTATACTTAATGGAACGGTGGATATCGTCCTCAGAGTAGCTCTTAATGATGAAAACCCGGCCATGTTTCAGATTCCAGTCAAAATCCTTGGGGTTATAGTTATTAATAGACCGCAGCTTCTCCAACACTGGGTGAGGTTCTGAAGGAGTAGATCCAGATCCGGCCTGAGACGGTCCTACTCCATTACCATCCACCCCATTATGACCGAACCCACTGCCACGGTTCCGAGGTGCTACCCAGCGGGTTGGCTGAGTTGCTTGTTGCTGGACTGAGAGCTGGGCAGGCTGAGGTGGAGGTGGGGGCAATGGCTGTGTCTGTTGCCCAACTGATGCCTGAGCCACTGGTGGGCTATTGTTAGCCTGCTGACCTACAGGCTGGGGAGACCCCTGGGTTGGCTGTTGACCTAAATTCTGAACCAAAGCCTGTGAGGGGGCTTTTGCCACAGGACCCTTGTTATCCCAAGTTCCAATATCCATGTTATGCTTTATTGGGGGTGGTGGAAGACTTGACCCTGCAATGCCATTCTTGGTCTTCAACTTAGGCTGCTGTTTCGCAGGCTTGCTAGCAATATCAGCCCAAGACGCTGGTTTTGGAGGAGCAATAGTAGCTGGAGGCAAACTATTGGAAGCCACGATGTTACCAGTAATGGACCCACTACCAACTGCAGAGCCTACAACTTTTGGAACATTGCTTGCAACTTCTGTGCTACCCAACTTCAGCGCTGCCATCCCTTGGTCTATAGTATTCATGCCAGGAGCCTTATTCAGGGTCTCACTGGCAAAAGCTGACTGTCCATCAATCATGGCTCCACCTAAGGAGCTAGGTGCATAAGCATAATTGCTACTATATCCAGAGCTTTGAGTAGACTGTCCCTGAGAACTGTTATTTCCCCAAGCTGAGAAGTCAATCCCACTGGGAAAGAAATTAAAACCATGTTGACCAAGAAATGGAGTGCTACCTAGGGCTCCTGGTTGTCCAAACATTGCATCTGGTAGGAAGTGAGGCTCTCCGTTGCTCAGCTGTCCATAAGAAGTTAGATAGGGCATGGCTGTATCACCCCCAGTAGACCAAGCAGCTTCACCCAATGAATAGGAGAAGCCAATGGAGGGACTGTAGTAACTGGGTAAGTAGGAATCTGACATGGCAGTATATGCATTATTCTGTGGAAGGAAAAAAACAAAACAAACAGGCAAATCACAACTAAACACAAAAATTAATAAAACAACAATCAAGACATTTCCTCTCCCAATTATTCATACAACTCAAATTCAACTAAAAAAGCAAATGACCACCTCAGGTGGTCTCTTCCCACAAACTTGCTGGAATTTTTACACTGTAAGAGATTTTGGTTTAACAAGTGAAATGTTTAAACACTTCAAGTTAAAGTGACACACAGTGATGTGGACCTTAACTTAAGCACTATCATTCAGTGAAGGGAAAACCCAGCATCTCATCAACAGTATTAATGACAGTATTAATAACAGTTTTACAGAACTGTTGAGACGATGCTTCTACTAAAAGCCGTTATCTCTGGATTTCAGGAGTGGGAATTTTGACACATCAGGAGTGTTCCTAAGAGTTTTCTATCAAAACCATACAATAGATAAAACAACACAAAAAGACCTGGAAATTACAGGTTCTATCCAAAAATCTGTGTTGCCATTCCTCAACCATAATCCAAGGTTCATTACACCTAGTTTACATTGCCAGCCTCTTGGCAAACCATTTGGGAACATCAACAAATGCCACTATTTAATTATAACCTGGAAAGGAAATGTACAATGAATTCCAGAGTTTAAAACTAGAAAAACCTTGCTACCTGTTGTACTTCACCTATAAAATTATTGGCTGTAAGCTCAAATGCACACCTAACTTTTCCATTAAAAACAGAATTCCAAAAACATGGTAAAGTTCGACTCTTTAAAAAAAAGAATTATCCTAAAGAATTTCCCAGAAATATAAACTTACATTCAACTAGTCTCCACACTGGAAGACAGATTACACTGTAAAAACATCATTCTTGATCTTACTTTAGTTTATGAACAGTATCTTAACTTTTCTATAAATGCTAGAATTCACAGACTAGTCCTGTGAGAAGCTGGAGATACAAAAAATTGGTCTCTGTAAATATGGATACAGCTCAATTCAAAATAGAGTACTTTACCCTAACTTGAAAATAACTCTAGTACAAGAGTACACTTATCTTGATGAGCACAGAGAAATTTATAAAATTGTCGAACCACTGTATTATATACCTGATACTAATATAACACTGTATGTTAACTACACTAGAATTAAAATAATAGCTCTGGTACATAAGAATCCATTAACTAGTGAATAGAGAATTTTACTCTCAAGAGACTTGGATGACCATAACTATGTTAGGCCTTAAGTTTCTATTCCCAAAGCCAAAAGTACTTCTCCTAGCCAAACGTATCTCTTTAAAATTAAATGTTTCGACTAATGCAGCCTGATAAAATGGTACTTTTCTCTGCCAAAATTTTCCTTAAAAAAAAAAAAAAAAAAA